TACTGTATGTATAATTTAATAAACGGGCAAGTGATAAATTAATGTCAGATCATCAATTCTTTGTAAAACCGTTATGCATTCCACAATTTATTTGTTTAATATTTGCAATGACTATTAACATAAATTATTGTGAATTCAATGAATCTTTAAAATAAATTAAGCACAGTCGCCATCACTTTTTTGTTGAAAATTCGCTCTTATTGTAACTGCATATGAAGCCATAGTCTTTAGCTTGAAGTGCTGTCGTTCGTACAATAACTCCATCAAAGTTAACAAGTTATATTTTTTAGTAGTAATTGTTAATATGAGGAAAATACATTAAAAACCTAACTTTCATAAATCTAGTAAAAAACAAACCTGTATGCCCAGGTTTAGTTTTTTATCAGATTATCCATCCAATTACGAGATAAACCCATTGTTCCTCGAGTTGACAAGTCTGCTGATCAGGTTTATATATCATAACGGGAAAATTTTCCTTATTATCTCCATCTTTATGACACTTAATTAATAACAAAAAGACAATAATAACGTCTGCGCGATAGCATCAAAACGTGATTATTAAAACCTGTTTTAAATTTTAAATGCTTTCTAATGTTTTAAACACGCTTTGTAGCTTAGTTTATTGAAAAATGGACGATTCAATAAATCGGGATATAACCGGTATATCTGAGGACTTGAGGAGACTGATTAATATACCACTAAGTCAAAGCCGTTTGGTGACGGCAGAGTAGAATACATTTGTCACCAACCCCTACTCTTCCCGCGGGTGTCGTAAGAGGCGACTTAGGGACTACACATCAAACAGAGAATGGGCAGCAGCGCTCTCTGAAAAACATCAATCTTTTAAACTGCGATCTCCAACCCGCCTGCCAAGCGTGGAGATTATGGCAAAACCCTCCACTATAGTGGAGGAGGCTCATAGTCCAGCAGTGGACTGTAAAGGGCTGTTGATGATGATGAAGTCAAAGATGAGACCGTGCCATATTATTGGGTCGCATAAAAATCACTCATCTGTGTGAAGTTTCGCTTCTTTACTTATTCATGGTTGGGCAGGGAATTACATTATTGCGTCATGGCACAATTTGACCTTGGTGCGTGAAAGTTGCTAATATACAAGAAACTTTGTTGAGACTAAACTAAGTTGCAGACGACAGCATGTTAATCTAAATATATTCCCCCTAAGTTACACGGACACTATAGTTGAACCCTGTTTTAAAGAGACGTTTAGTATGGAAATGTCACTTAAACAGGGCTCAACTATGGTGTTACGTTTATTAATGAGGGGGCTTATATCATTGTGATAGAATACAATTTAGCAACAAAACAGCCGCTCACCCCTCTCCCCGATGTACTCGTTGAAGTCGACGCGTCCGTCGTTGTTTTTGTCCTTTTCCCGCATGGTCTGGTTCACCAGGTAAGGGTGCATGGCCGCGTGCTCCTCCGGGTTCGTGAACACCTGCGGAAAAAAATATAATCACTACATCGCTTTCGGCTGTCTGTCCCTATGTACGCTTAGATCTTTAAAACTATGCAACGGATTTTGATGCGGTTTTTTTAATAGATAGAGGGATTCAAGAGGAAGGTTTATAGATATACTTAGTACCCAATGCAATTATTCATGAACAGACAGTTAAACCAGAGTAAATACAAATGAGCGGGGAGCCAGTCGTGGTTGCGCCGAATTTTGTCAGTGTGTGCGTGCGCGCCGCATACGTGTTGACGCGCTCATATACAAACCGCGCTCGGTGCGTTTCTATGAAGATGACCTACTCATTTGTATTTACTCTGGTTAAAGCTATCGGAGGACTTTTCCGCGACGCAATAAGCAACGCGACGTCCAAGCATAAAACATAAATTGAGTAGTTTTAGAAACAGAGCGATATAGCTACGACTAATGTATTCAGTTTTATAATCAATTTGAACGAGGTTTTGTGTTGAGAAATTCCAATGAACTCTCCAACATTGTTGTTTGTCTTTGTCAAAGGATTATAAAACAATTTATTCGTTTGAATACACAAGTCAAGAGCACATCCGAGGTAACATGTCGACCTTGAAATCGTCTTTATTCCTCGCGAAATAGGAGCCACTTTTGTAGTGCAACAGTTACGATGTCGGCTGTAGGTCATTGAATATCCGATAAATGTTTTATGCATTATATTTCCATGTCGAAATAAAGGCTGGTATCTGAAGGATTTGCATACATTTATGTAGCACAAATGCTGTTAAGAAACGTCTGAACTTTAGTACTGGAGTCACATTAAACCGGTGGGTATAATAGTGTCCCAACAGCTATAAAGATTAACGCAGGGTGTCAAAGAAAATAGGTCAGCTGTTGCAGATTGAATAACTGGACTCGATTATGATTGCTTTACGTCTTTGCGTTCCGCATATTTAGAGAAAGTAAATGTTACTAGCTTAGTCCTAGTAGGTACTAAACTATGTAGCATAGCAGTAACAGGTTCTACTAGATAAACCATTTTGTAAAGCATTTTGAGACTTTGTATTCAGTTCTTTCTAGTGTAAATAATAATTTATTTTTTATTTCTCTCACAACATAAATTATGAAAAACATTTCTTATAATATATCTGTTAAACTATAGATTGCATTGTGAGAGCATAATAATTTTATTGTGTAGTAAACTGTCTAAAACGTGACAGTTATTTTTATTCTAATGGATGTCAATTAAGTAAATTGAGTGTGATCGAATTAGTCATAACAGAGAAGAGTACCTATTACAGAACATAAACATGTATGTTTTTTTTGTAAATTTTATAAAATTCCCTGAATAGAATTAGAAAATTCTTACCTCAAATTCAACAATATCCAGCACTCCATCTCCATTAATGTCGGCCGCTTTGAACATTTCTTTCTCTTCGCGTAGCAGCTGCAATAAAAACAAATATGTTCACATTGTATTACATTGTAAACAAACTCAGCTAATTGTATAACATTGTTTACAAATGCATTGCAAAATCTCATTCTTACCGAAACATTCGTGATAACGCGATATTTTTTTTTAATAAAATAGTTGTAAACTTGTAAAAGTAAAGATACAATATGCAATGCAAAAAGAGGGAGACTCCTAAAATATTTACAAGGAAATTCATGAGCAAATATTTCACTGAGTTCAACTTCAAGTTCAATGAAAAAAAGAAACAAAGTAAAATAATTTGCAATGAATGTACCTTCAAAAAGATAACAATACATACACAGTTTAAAAAAAAGTACTTACAGAGTAGGTGGTAAGTACTGAAACAAAATTCGTTTCCTATCTGTGTAGGACTTTAGTGAAGTTATGATTATCAAAATACACCTGAAGTGTTTAGGTAGAGCTAATGTATTAATAAATATGGCATGAAATAGATAATAGTGACTGAGTTTCTTGTGAAGTATGTAAATTGCTCTGCTTCTTCTCAGCAGTGGCATGGTTAATACTGCGACATGTAAAAGTGCTTTTTAAAAGTACTTGCAAATATAAAGTGAGTTTTTTGAAAGGAAGGTAAATCTAACATAGTATAATTTAATATGACACTCAATAATGCATAAAAGGATAAATAAAATAAATAATGTAATAGTTTACTTACAATATTATACTAGAAAAAAAAAGAAAAGCGTCTAGAAATAAAAAATCAAACTAAATAAAAGAGGAAACCGCACCCCTACCATGCCAGAGTCCCCCGTGTCCTCCGGGCCCACCTCCTCCTCCGTGTCCACCCCGAAGGCGTCCTGCAGGTACTCCGGCCATGACACCACCCCGTCCCGGTTGTCGTCCACCTCCGACATCCGCTCCTCTGCCTCTTCTCGAGACAGATTACTATAATTTTAAATAGCTTGTTTATAAATAATGCTGTTCAGAAGAAATGCAATTAAGTAGTTAACAGTTACTTGGTTTATTTATAAACAGAGTGCAATGGTCTTTACTTCACTCGAACTGTTGCATGTTGTTGCCGAGTAAGAAATAATCAAGATATTATTGACATTAGGGCCATAAATTTTATCTGTACCATAAAACAAGTAGAATGCAAATCTAACCAATTTGCCTGTACTTTGCGTAGCAATAAATTCTCTTTATCACAAATAATAATGATTACTTACATGAAAGAGTTCAGTATCCACTTCTTGAGCTCCAAGCGGTCGATGTTCTGGTCTCCGTTCAAGTCCATCTTCGGCAGCAGCAGCGCCAGGCGCCGCCGCGACTCCTCCGGGGTGAGCTTGTCATACTCCTCCGCCTCCTTCACGCTCCCTATCGAGAAATAATAAGTCACCACCAGTATCACGGGCACGCACAACGCAAACGCGTACTTCACGGTCATCGCACGGCGCGCGGCCTATCGCATTCCTTATCGACGACTGAACCTCGAGCTCGAGACGTTGCAAAACCGCCGCCGCCGCCGCCGGCACGGCAGCGACGTCACGCGAAAGCAAAAAGATTGTAAACAAAACCGGGCACCTAAAATGGCTTCATGGTCGAACTCCGAGTTGTGGCCGGCGTCGTTGTAGTGATCGAAGTCTCTTGAGCGGTAGCTGCCGTCCGATTCTCGTTCTATATTATTGTCCAGGCTGTGGCTGTGCACCGCTGCCGACGCACAGTGCAGCAGAACATTGTGGCTCAACAAAATCAAAAAGGAGAAAAAATATTCGGATGCCATCTTATTGCACTTCCTCTGCACGATTTTAATTCGAGCTCAGTTCAATGGCTTTATTATGCAAATTCCATTATATTCTCAAGTTTATTTTCAAAAATAGTATCATCAGAAATAAATAAGCTGAGTGACAGATGAGCCAAAGCGATCAATATGTTTTCGTCTCTGACATTTGACATAATTTAAAAAAAACTCTGACGTCTTCATCTCTGATTCGCCGTTAAGGTTAGAGGGATTGAGTTTAAACCAATCATCAAAAACGTCAGCTATGACGTACTTACTGTCAATGAAAACGCACTGATTTTTGTTTTTTAAACTGGTTCATTTACCGGAGGCAAAGAAATAAAAAAGGTGTGGATAATCAACACTTTTATTTTGCATGAATTCTAATTGATTTTTTAACATTAATTACATTGTTTTAGTAAATTATCAGCAGCCATAACGATCAAGGTCACTCTTCTACCTGCTACGTGGTTGGGATAAGACAGGAGGAACTTAATCAGGTGTTTGCGAACTTCGCCGATCACCAAAGGAAGATGGGTTCTCGTCGCTGGATCCGACGCGTTTAAGTTGATGATAGTTTCTTCCAAGTATCTAAAAGAAGAGAAATATTTTTTGGGAATACATGTTACTTTAGAATAATGCCTTTTCAGTCTGGGAATCTTAAATCTATAGTCTGGTCCGCGAGCACGTAGAATTTTGTCCAATGACCCCAAGCTACGCATCCTTATCGCTCGCGCGTAATTATGTAGCTGTCGCGCTCGCACACTCACTTCGGGCGCCCGTCGCACAGTCGCGACAGCAATATAATTACGCGCGAGCGATAAGGATGGGTAGCTTGGGGTCATTGGACAAAATTCTACGTGCTCGCGGACCAGACTATAGAAGTAGTTTGTTACCTGCACTTGAGCTGTGTCTCGTGCAGCATGTCGGTGGCGAGTTGCTGCGCCAGCGAGAGCAGCACGGGCTGCTGGAGGCGGCAGGGCGCGAAAACGTGCGCGGGGTCGGCGGCGCGGCACGCCGCCATCACCAGCGACAGGTCGGCGGCCGACAGCGCGCGCTCGAACGACCCGTTCACGTCGCCGTCGAGGATCTGCTTGTTGATCTCCGCCGACTGCATCTTTGGAGGGAGTTGATGACTGGTGAAAATCTTACGACACTTAGAAAAAACAATACACCAGAAAGTAGCAGCTTACTCAGTGGTGGATTTACAGATTTGCCGCCCGTAGCTGAGGGGTTGGATCTTATTTGTATTTGACTGGCCTGGCGAACATTGATAAATTCGTACTTTGTGTGTGTAAAAAAATATTATGAACTAAATCTGCCACCTCTTACAATTTACCGCCGTAGGCTTCAGCCTACTTAGCCTGCTGGTAAATCCACCACTGCTCCCACTGATTCGGTACTGGGACCGTTACGGATGGGGGGCTTTTTGTAATCTTAAAACTGCCAAATAAAAACTGGCTGCGATGGCGTTTTTTAGCTGCGCACCTCAATGAGTTGCGCCACCACCGGCAACGCACCTGTCGAACGCCCCTGGGTTTGCGGTTGTCTATGGGCGACGGTAATCACTTACCATCAGGTGATCCGTCTGCTCGTTTGCCTCCTGTCACATAAAAAAAAACCACCACTCCACCACCTCTTGGTGGTCCTACATCCTAAAATGACGTTAGTTCTTCAGCTCTTTATAGCATTTTTAAAGGAAATATCGTCTTACCAACTGGTCAATGATGGATCGTTCGGGGTCGGCCGGCTGCGGCGGGCTACTCGGGCTAAGTGGGCAGTCCGGAGGGTCAGAAGAGCCCGAGCAGTCCTCGAAATACTCCGCCTGCAGCTCCGTCACGATTATGTCGAGGACTTTTTGACGCCATTGCTTCAGCTCTTTATCTAAAGTCCGGTCACCGAGCACGTAGAATTTCGTCCAATAACCCCAAGCTACCACAAGGATAATTATATTGCTGTCGCACTCGCACACTCACTGCGGCCGCCCGTCGCACATTCGCGACAGCAATATAATTACGCGCGTGCGATAAGGAGGGTAGCTTGGGGTCATTGGACGAAATTCTACGTGCTCGGCGACTGGACTTTAGCGGCGAAAGGAATTAGTGTCTTACCAGTTGGTCAATGATGGATCGTTCGGGGTCGGCCGGCTGCGGCGGGCTACTCGGGCTAAGTGGGCAGTCCGGAGGTTCAGAAGAGCCCGCGGAGCAGTCCTCGAAATACTCCGCCTGCAGCTCCGTCACGATTATGTCGAGGACCTTCTGACGCCATTGCTTCAGCTCTTTGTCTAGTAGTCTGAGGAAACAGATGTTAATTTAGCGAGTGAGAAATGATGTCATAAGTACAATCAAGAAAACCTTGCACTGGACATAGAGTAAATACTTAGATACTTATAGAGTAATTTGGACTCCTGCAATACGAGTAGGGAGCGTAGAAAAATATGAACCGCCTATTTCCCCCGGGCCGTCTTTAGCCTACCCTAATAAGAATCAAATACTTTTTCCTCTAACTAAGGAAAGGAAATTTTTAAGATTATGACAACTTTTCAGCGATACAACTATCAGTACTTTTTAGAACAGGGCCTCGAACGCAGGACCCAGTACTTAAGAGGGGCCTTTTTTGCGTCGGGAAATGCTTTGCCTACTGGCTGATGGGGACAGTCAGTTAGTGGGTTATGTGGGACTCTCCCCACCCACCCACTAAAATCCGACGGTGTCCTCTGAGGCCATTGAAACGATTCCGCGAGTTATTGTCTTGATCTAGGCCTATCCTACCGAATTTTGAAATATCTCTTCTCTATTTCTTGATAGTTCCAACCCAGCTAATGCAGTAGACTTACTCCTCAACGGTGTTCCGCAAAGCGTCAGCGAAGTGGGTGTCAGGTGCGTGCAGGCTGTGGGCGTCAAGCGCGCGCCGCAGATCGCGCGTGGTCTTGTGCATGTGCCGCGACAGCTGGGCCGAGTTCTCTTCCACTGCAATTTCGTAATGCAGTAGAGTAATCTTTAGGTTTCCATTAGTTACTGGAATACCTACGTTTAAGAATGTTCAAAGCGCAAAGAGGAGATGCCATGATCCATATATTTTCTGGCTACACAGCCAGAATTATCGAAAACATTAATATTATGAAAACGAATTACCTACGAAAAGAACGAATTTCGTTTCAGCCAAATGACGTCCACTGCTGGACAAAGGCCTCCCCCAAAGATTTCAAAACGACCCGTCCTGCGCCGCCCGCATCCAGGTACCTCCCGCGACCTTCACCAGATCGTCGGTCCACCTAGTGGGAGGTCTGCCCACACTACGTCTTCCGCACTGTCGCAGACGAGGCGAAGAAGATCGGCAAGACTTGGAGCGAGATCAAACGCGAAGCTCAGGACCGAACGCGATGGAGGACTGTTGTGTCAAAGTCAAAGTCAAAATTTCTTTATTTGTTTAGACTAATAAATAGTTCTTATAAATCGTCATTTGCTCTTAAGGAGCCTCTACATGTCTCATAATCTTTTTATTATACCCTACCAGCGCTTCGAGCTTCAGGAGCAGTTCACTGAATTTACCATGCATTCTTGTATGGTGTATCATAAGAATGGGTATACAAGATTGCGTGGTATATTAAACAAGGTAGTGACGTGCTAATATCTAGACTTAAGTACATATTAATTTGGTTCCCCTGCGGAGTATTATAAGTCTACGTTCAGGGAAAGAGTCTTCCAATGCGTTTTGGAGGAGAGGCGATGTGGAAATAACAACAATAATGGCGCGTAATTTTTCCGAAATTATGCTAGAAAGACTAAGTATTAAGTAAGTGTAGTGTCTCATACGTTCAGCGAAAGCGTCTTCCAGCGTCCTGGAGACTTGTCTGGCGAGGCGGCGGTGCTGGCGCGCGAGCGCGGGCAGGCAGGCGGCCGACACGCCGCGCGCGCCGTCGCGCACCACCGAGCGCACGCTCGCCGCCGTCGCCGAAGCCACGCGCGAGCGCAGCTCCTGTACACACCGACCACTGTTTAAGGCTGGTTTTAGAATAGGCTAGTTGCCTAAAAAAATTTTTTTAGTCCGTAATGTTTAATATCAAAAAATATTGGACACATATATTTTTATTTGTCAATCTAACAAATAATTACATAGTTATGGTGCGTTGAAGTTGCGCACGACGTCACAACGTGCGGCATTTTTAAGCAAGCGTTGACGTCACGGGCCTCTTCTTATGAACTTTGGGGCGCTTTATCTCTTTAAATTTTCATTAGTTTGAAAAAGTGAAAAATACGTGTAGAGTATTTTTTGATAAGTTAACTGACGGACTAATTAAAACTCTTGCTTTTTGACCCAGGTTTGAGTAAAAATTCTACTCAAGCGTGGCGTATCGCGCCATTTCAACTCGATGTAGCACTGTTATTATTTAATTATGAAAGAAAATAAAAAATATGAGTCTAATATTTTCTAATTATCTGTCTGACGGACAAATAATTGAAATTTTGTCATCTAGCCTAGTTGTCGTCAGGAAGTTGGTCTAACTAATTCAGCTTGCAAGATTCCACCCGAACAAACATTTATGTAATTACCTACATAGGTACATCATAAATTGCAAGCTAAATAAAAGCTTGTAATAAAGTCGGGTTTGTTCAAATTTCGAGAACGACTGAACCGACAAAAGCATTAGAAAAATTACAAAAAATAAAATAAAATTTTATCCCGCACAAAATGTTCATGGATTTTGTTATTTTTTTTAAATAGGTATTTAAATGTTATGTTATGCCTGAGTTAAATGACACCGACATCAAGGTTCATCAATTTAAGTTTAAAATAATAGGCAGTAATGTATGAAGAAAGAGCTTCTATTCTGTATCTACCTATGCCCGTGTATTTTTGATCGGTGTCAAATCGGAGTTTTTGGTGCGGGGTGCGCGGGTGTTGCTCGCGGCGTGAAGGTCAAACGCCCAAGGTCATTGAGGACTCTAATCGCCTTAAGTCAAGTAAGCGGGCTATGTCAGTCACTTTAGTTCCCCTGCGGAGTATTATAAGTCTTGTTCACGTAGGTACGCGCGGGCGCGGGGGCGGGTGCGGGCGCGGGAAACGTTGCGAGCTCGTGTTCACATTAACCACCAGGCGTTCGCGCGAGTGTGACGTACCTATTCGTTTCTAGCGACAATTTCAAACTGGTTGAACTTACCTGACGTCGCGAGTGAAACGCGCGCGCCGCCGCTAGTTTGACATGAACACACACAAACATATTCACGCGTTGAAATTACCGCGCGCGCTCCGCGCGCACCAGTCGCTAGCTTGCCCGCTAGTTAGACCGCACCTGCGTTTCGTACGTGAACACTTGGAATCACTACAATTGTTTGATATTTCGTCACCGCGCCCGCGAGTCAACGTGAACAAGCACTTACGTTCGGCGAAAGCGTCTTCCAGCGTCCTGGAGACTTGTCTGGCGAGGCGGCGGTGCTGGCGCGCGAGCGCGGGCAGGCACGCGGCCGACACGCCGCGCGCGCCGTCCCGCACCACCGACCGCACGCTCGCCGCCGTCGCCGACGCCACGCGCGAGCGCAGCTCCTGTACACACCGACCAAGGTTTAAGGCTGGTTTTAGAATTACGCTGACGCACGCTGACCGCTCGCCTGCGCTGACAAATCAAAATGTATGTAATTGAAGGGAACGTTTCTGAGTGACGCTGATCGCTCGACGCCGACGCTCCAATTTCGGCTATTAGCGCTGACGGTCAGCGTGCGTCAGCGTGATTCTAAAACCAGCCTAAGGCCTGGTTCAAAACTTCAGACGGCGATAATCGCATGGTTAGTGGGCAGTTATCTTTTTTTTTGTCGCGGAATAAATGCTGTAATAATCAGACACCACTGCCGGGGGTCTGAAAAGGGCGCTGCTCCGTCCTGAAAAGGACGGGGTATACTTACCCACTAAAATCTCCGCGGCGTTCCGTCATCGCTCGAGTGGGGGTGTCACGAGTAGGTATCTGGCCGTAGCCTTAGACTTCCGCGACAAGGCAGTTATCTTACATTTACTGCATCAACCCTTTAGTGCCTCCCCATTAAGAACTAATCAGATGCCGCGCGGATATCGCGCATCTGAACCATTAGCTCTACGCAACTGTTTTTATTTCGTTAAAATAATGAGTTATTCTCATGATCGTGGACTGACTAGTTATAATAGTCTTACGTCACTCTGTAGGAGAGCAGTGAGNGCTGACGCACGCTGACCGCTCGCCTGCGCTGACAAATCAAAATGTATGTAATTGAAGGGAACGTTTCTGAGTGACGCTGATCGCTCGACGCCGACGCTCCAATTTCGGCTATTAGCGCTGACGGTCAGCGTGCGTCAGCGTGATTCTAAAACCAGCCTAAGGCCTGGTTCAAAACTTCAGACGGCGATAATCACATGGTTAGTGGGCAGTTGTCTTTTTTTTGTTGCGGAATAAATGCTTTGTGCACCGTCACGACTGCCGGGGGCCTGAAAAGGGCGCTGCTCCGTCCTGAAAAGGACGGAGTATACCCACTAAAATCTCCGCGGCGTTCCGTCATCGCTCGAGTGGGTGTGTCGCGAGCTCAGATCATAGAATGATCTGAGGTCATGAACGTGGATTGGCAATAATAAGGTAAGTCTTACGTCACTCTGTAAGAAGGCAGTGAGTGCGTCTCGCACGTGCCCGTCCAGCGAGGAGGCTCGCTTGGTCTCGATGGCGTCCAGCAGACTCTTGGCGCGAGGGTTCGGCTCTAGCGACTCGGATGAATCGCTTTGAACGAGCTCTTTTATTCTGCTAAAGAAATAGTGAATCCACAATAAAACATTGAAAAGTTAGTAGGCAGGTAACTTATCAAATTAAAAAATGAAACAGAAGCTTAAGTAATACCTCTTGCTCTTGTTGACGACTTCGGCCAGCATGTGTGCGAACCCATAGCCCGAGCCCTCGGACGGGGCCTTGGACTCCTGCACCTCATCTTTTATGGCCCCCAGCATCTTGCACTGTTCTTCGAACAAATCTGTACAAATTCGAGCAAGGAAGGTCGATTAGGTACCTATCTACCTTATTTATTTGTAACAAATGAATATGTTACATTGGTCACTTGTTGTAAAACTTGAACAACTCTTTTCTTGTTTAATTTTTCACTCTTTTTTTATCATGACGAATCGATTACGACAGGATAAACCAAGCAAATTTTTATTAAATAAATACCTAGCAGCAATGAACTAATCTGCACTTTGTTTGTACAAACCTAAAATAAATCGTCCGTGTCAAAATCGTATATCATTTTATAGTTACCTCAGAGAAAGAAAAAAATACTCACGACTCAAACGATCAATCTTCCGTTCCAAATTCAACATAGCCTCGCCATCACAGCTGGAGGCCCCATCCTGGGCGACCTTGCGTCCATGCACCGAAGGTTCGGAGTCAGAGTCCAAAATTGAGGACGGACCCTGACGATACGCTTCCACGGACGACCCGCTTACCGTGTAGCTTCTGCATGCGTATGCGTAGCCACATAATTGTTTTATAGGCTCGTTATCTATTTGGTAGAAAGTCATATTAATATCATCACTCAGGGAACTCATCGATTTAGATCTTCGGAAACACTTAATTGCACCATCTTCTTTCAGTTGTTGAGGGAGTCCGTCCATATTTTTACGTAGTGTGAACAGTAATGAAAGAAGTTTAGCTTTGACATGGTATTTTTTTTTATCTTACCCTCCATTATTTCGTAATGTAGGTTTTAGACGACACAGTGAGTAGGGGATACCGTAGGCTCTTCTACACAATCGCTCGTAAGAAGAGACTGCGACGCATGACATATCACGCCGTAATGCGGTTGCAGAAGCAGAGAGCCGTTAACCGCTCCGACATTACGAAGGATTCCTTGCAAACTAAGGAATACTTACCTGCACAACTTTGTGAGCTGGGTATTGTGAGCCTACTTAATAAAGTTCTGTTGTGTTTATAATTCCGATTAAGTATAATGAAGTTAAGTACCCCCAATTAAGTTTTTATCAACAACTTACTATAACTGTTTGTTTATTACCTACCTTTTGTTTTTATATTAATAATGAATTTGAAATGTTAAAAAATAACAATGATAAAGATTTTTTTTAAATAAAACACGATTACAAATCAATAGTCTCATTTATTTATACATTTTCTTATAAATACTCTCGATCTGTGACAATCATCGTTATAATAAACTAAAATCTGTCAAATCAATTAATGTCCTAGCTTTCTACAGTAATTAAATACTTCTATAGTAACTGAATATCTTGGGGCCCTACGGCCAGTCGCAACGCAACGTCACGCATACGAGAAAAAACAAATGAGGCAATGAGTTAATAGTAAGAAATCTCAAATTAAATTTCTAGATTTAAGTTTCAATAATATAAATAGAAGCAACAATTTAACGACACCTAAAACAATAAACTTTTAATTGTCAGATCTTAATTAAGAAAAAATGTTAAAAATTACTTGAAAAAAGCATTGGTCTTGTTTGTTGAGCTGTGCGTAGGCAGATTTACAGAGAAATGTTACCAAATCGTTTACGACCTGAATTTAAGTGAGAATGTTATCTGGGATTTGGTCAGTTGGTCATTATGAGGTGAGACCTCTACTGTTTATTTTGTGATGATGTTCTTTTCAAAATGATTAAATTATACATAACTTTTAAACAATATTGTTAACCTCTTAGGTACGTTTTCAGAATATGAAAGACTTACGTATAATACATAGTTGACTGAGTACAATGCAGTAGCACCTCTGAACTCACAGAGAAACAGCATGCGAAAAGTTATTGGTAATTTAAAGAGAAAACTATCTAGGACGATTAAGCACCAATACATGCTAGCCAACATAAAGATCATAGTTTGTTCGTTAATTTAAAACTTCAAGTTTGTTCAAACATTATGTTCTAGATAGTATTGGTACTTCCCTTTGATTAATTTATACTCGTTATAGCTCCATGACCACAGGTGAAGCTGCTTCTCTGTGCGTTACGCACTTCGGGGTGGTACTCGCTACTAAACGACGAAACAACTTCTTGCGCTTAAAGCATACGAAATAAATACAATATCACCACTGAGTAGTCCATACACACTTTTTAGTTAACTGTGCAAACAAGCGTTACCTACCATACTTTATTTTTAATACTTTGATGTTATCCGAAGCATGTATGCCGATAAATAATCTGTTCAGCGAAATAGATTTAATCAAGAAGAAACATTGAAACATTCAAATACTACAAACCAGTGGGATTTCTCATGTTTTTGTTATACATTTTCCCACACTAAGCACATTCAGCAGTCATAGTCCTACAATAAAGCACTTAACTCTAATCTATCAGGCAGCTTCGCATTTGTACACACAGTTACACTTGACTCATCACAGTAACTTGTAACAATATACTTAATGCATATATTGAACACCCTTTTAAAGGTATAATAGCCCAACACTGGAGCAATAGGGAGCTTAGGATCTTAAAATAGTCAAAGATAGGTGTTGACTTATATCAATTTATCAGTCATTGAATTCAGTCATGTCATAAAGTTGTAAGTGCTACCTATCGGAAATGTGCACTTGAAGCTTTACGCACGAGGTATATGAAATAGGTAAAGTACTGAAAGGGCACGAGAGTGAGACAAATAGTAGTAACGTGAAGAAAATATGTATAAGATACTGCAGAGATACCTCCCTTTAGAATAACGCCAATACGAGACAATATATTAGATCCTTATTAGTACAACTAGGAGTGTTTATTTTTGTAACTTCAAAGTTATACAAACTGCTAATTTGTAACTTATAAAAATGCAACCTCACATAGTATGAAATAGGCTTTTCGCCCAAATTTCAATAATTAGTTAATAATATACCTTGATGCCTATTTTATACAAATGCGCTCTTATTTTGGAAAAAAATCTCATCTCCAAGGATTATTTTGCATTTTCAATAATATTTGACATATAGCCCTCAAAAACGCTCACGACCGTCATGGCGTCTTGAATGACGTCACGCCTTGCAAAACACAGCTGTTTTAGTACGGAAATTGTAAAGTTAAATTAATTACAAATGGATCCATCGTACTTCAAGTCCTGTATAGTGCCNACTTTGAACCAGGCTAGTTGACAATAATAAGCGAAGTCTTACGTCACTCTGTAAGAAGGCAGTGAGCGCGTCGCGCACGTGGCCGTCCAGCGAGGAGGCTCGCTTGGTCTCGATAGCGTCCAGCAGACTCTTGGCGCGAGGGTTCGGCTCTAGCGACTCGGATGAATCGCTTTGAACGAGCTCTTTTATTCTGCTAAAGTAATAGTGAATTCACAATAAAACTTTGAAAATTTAGTAGTTAGGCAGGTAACTTAGATTAATTTATCAAATTAAAAAAATTAAACAGAAGCTTAATACCTCTTGCTCTTGTTAACGACTTCGGCCAGCATGTGTGCGAACCCGTAGCCCGAGCCCTCGGACGGGGCCTTGGACTCCTGCACCTCATCTTTTATGGCCCCCAGCATCTTGCACTGTTCTTCGAACAAATCTGTACAAATTCCAGCAAGGAAGGTCAATTACCTATCTACCTTAATTTATTTGTAACAAATGAATATGTTACATTGCATTGGTCACTTGTTGTAAAACTTGAACAAAATCTCTTTTCTTGTTTAATTTTTCACACTCTTTTAGCGTCACTTGTTTCTTTTATCATGACGAATCGATTACGACAGGACAAACCAAGCAAATTTTGATTAAATAAATACCTAGCAGCAATGAACTAATCTGCACTTTGTTTGTACAAACCTAAAATAAATCGTCCGTGTCAAAATCGCATATCATTTTATAGGTAGGTACCTCAGACAAAGAAAAAAATACTCACGACTCAAACGATCAATCTTCCGTTCCAAATTCAACATTGCCTCGCCATCACAGCTTGAGGCCCCATCCTGGGCGACCTTGCGTCCATGCACCGAGGGTTCGGAGTCAGAGTCCAAAATTGAGGACGGACCCTGACGATACGCTTCCACGGACGACCCGCTTACCGTGTAGCTTCTGCATGCGTATGCGTAGCCACATAATTGTTTTATAGGCTCGTTATCTATTTGGTAGAAAGTCATATTAATATCATCGCTCAGAGAACTCATCGATTTAGATCTTCGGAAACACTTAATTGCACCATCTTCTTTCATTTGTTGAGGGAGTCCGTCCATATTTTTACGTAGTGTGAACAGTAATGAAAGAAGTTTAGCTTTGACATGATATTTTTTTGATTCCTACCCTCCATTATTTCGTAATGTAGGGTTTAGACGACACAGTGAGTAGAGGATACCGTAGGATCTTCTACACAATCGCTCGTATAATAAGAAGAGACTGCGACACATCACGCCGTAATGCGGTTGGTAGATGGAAATATTTTTCCGGACATTACGAAGGATTCCTTGTAAACTTTAAAGAATAGGTACCTAATTACACAACTTTGAGAGGTGGGTATTGTAAGCCTACTTATTATAGTTCTGTTGTGTTTATAATTCTGATCATAATGAAGCTACCCCCGATTAAAAGTTTTATCAACAACTTTCTATCGCTGTTTGTATAATACCTATCCTTCGTTTTTATATGAATAATGAAATTGAAATGTTAAAAAATAACAATGATAAAGATATTTTATTAAATAAAACACGATTACAAATCAATAGTCTCATTTATTTATACATTTTCTTATAAATACTTACTCTCGATCTGTGACAATCATCGTTATAATAAACTAAAATCTGTCAAATCAATTAATGTCCTAGCTTTCTACAGTAATTAAATACTTCTATAGTAACTGAATATCTTGGGGCCCTGCGGCCAGTCGCAACACAACGTCACGCATAGGTACGAGAAAAACAAATGAGGCAATGAGTTTATAGTAAGAAATCTCAAATTAAATTAAGATTTAAGTTTCAATAATATAAAATAAATAGAAGCAACAATTTAACGACACCTAAAACAATAAACTTTTAATTGTCAGATCTTAATTAAGAAAAATATGAAAAATTACTTGAAAAAAGCATTGGTCTTGTTGGTTGAGCTGTGCATTGGCAGATTTACAGAGAAATGTTACCAAATCGTTTACGACCTGAACATAAGTGAGAACTGTTATCTGGGATTTGGTCAGTATGATGTGAGACCTCTACTGTTTATTTTGTGATGATGATGTTCTTTACAAAAACAATATTAAATTATACATAACTTTTAAACAATATTGTTAACCTCATAGGTACGTTTTCAGAACTTGAAAGACTTACGTATAACACATAGTTGTCTGAGTACAATACAGTAGCACCTCTGAACTCACAGAGAAACAGTATGCGAAAAGTTATTGGTAATTTAAAGAGAAGATACTCTTTAAAAGGCGATTAAAGCACCAATACATGCTAGCCAACATAAAGATCATAGTTTGTTCGTTAATTTAAAAATTCAAGTTTGTTCAAACATTATGTTCTAGACAGTATTGGTACTTCCCTTTGATTCATTTTCATAATATCGCTCCATGCCCACAGATGAAGCTGCTTCTCTGTGCGTTACGCACTTCACGGTGGTACTCGCTACTAAACAAACAATTTCTTGCACTTATAAGCAAACGAAATAAATACAATATCACCACTGAGTAGTTCATGCACACTTTTGAGTTAACTGCGCATACAAGCGTTACATACCATGCTTTATTTTTAATACTTTGATGTTATCCGAAGCATGAATGCCTATAAATAATCTGTCAGCGAAATATATTTAATCAAGAAGAAACATTGAAACATTCACATAATACATATTCACATTCTCATGTTTTTGTTATACATTTATCCATACTGAGCACATTCAGCAGTCATAGTCCTACAATAAGCACTTAACTCTAATCTATCAGGCAGCTTCGCATTTGTACACACAGTTACACTTGACTCATCACAGTAACTTGTAACAATATACTTAATGCATATTATTATATTGAACACCCTTTTAAAGGTATAAATGGCCCAACGCAGAAGCAATAGGGAGCTTAGGATCTTAAAATAGTCAAAGATAGGTGTTGACTTATATCAATTTATCAGTCATTGAATTCAGTCATGTCATCAAGTTGTAAGTATCTACTACCATCGGAAATGTGCACTTGAAGCTTTATGCACGAGGTATATGAAATAGGCAAAGTACTGAAAGGGCATGAGAGTGAGACAAATAGTAGTAACGTGAAGAAAATATGTGATAAGAATACAGCAGAGATACCTCCCTTTAGAACAGTGGTTCTTAACCTTTAAGTCACGAGTGACCATTTTACCAAATTTCTGTCTTGTCAGGGACCACTTATTGTCATTCAAAATCCTATGAAAGGGAAGGTCGATTTCTCGCCCACTGTGCGCCGTTTGCGTTGTGTTGACTCGACTCATCACGTCACGTCACTTGTTTACTACGATGTCTTCGCGGATCACTTGGAATGCCTCCAGGGATCACTAGTGGTCCTCGGACCACCGGTTAAGAACCACTGCTTTAGAATAACGCCAATACGAAACAATATATTAGATCCTTGAACTAGGAGTGTTTATTTTTATAACTTCAAGGTTATACAAACTGCTAATTTGTAACTGACAAAATGCTACTTCACATAGTATGAAATTGAAACGGTTCTTAGCTGTTTATGTTTAGTTAGGAATCATGAATAAACTTCTATCAAAAGTATGGCAGTATATTGTGTATTTAAGTAGGAACATGTGTACTAAACAACATTTAAAGTCACTTTTCTCATGGCACCATTTATTAGCTGCTATTGTCGGATTGGCATTTCTCAAAATCATATCATCTGAAATAGGTAAGTTTAATCACAAAAATCATACAAATTGAAAAAAATTTCTTTTGAAATGTGACATGAGTTTTGATATACTTTTAGACAGGAGGAGTCAATGTGATAATAACAAAATGAAATACATAGTTTTATATTGAAACATTTTCTAATCCTAGTAGTGTGAACAATGTCTATCACAATAGCGCAGCACTTGTTCCACTCAAGCGCTAATTCTACTCATTTTGTAAAAAATCCGCACGTGACAGTGTCTATAGCACACAAGTTTAACATTTATGCATTACCAACATCGCATTTATACACACACAGCCTGTCTACGATTTTGTTCATAGATATTTTCGTAACACAAAACTGAATATCGATAGAATCTTCAATTTCTCTTCACTGGTTCCTGAATCATTACATTTGACGAAATCCGCCAGCGGACGTATCGTAGACAAGCAACACGGCGTTTTATGTATTAGCCAGCAACGGTGACTTGATCAAAATTAAGGCGATTATCACACTGCGCCGCGCTCCGCCGCGGTACGCGGGACGACACATTTGATCATTGTATGCAAGTACAGTTTGTATAGAAAACACGCGCGGTACACACTGACAACGCGTCCGCGCGCGGGATTTTTTATATGAAATCATGATAACCGCCTAATACATTTTTTTAACTCTAGTTTTTCCTCGTTGCTGGCTAAACTCCACCCGCCATAAAAATCTCAGCTGCGTCACTAGTAACATCGTCACATCAACACGTCAGTCCACAAGTCCGTCACTGTCACATCACTACGTCGTCACTAGTCAGTAGTGGTGCGCGCGGCAGCGGCAGCGGCAGGCGGGCGGTCAGGCGGCCTTGACCAGCGAGTCGGCGGCCATCAGCAGCATCTTGAACTGCCGCGCCAGCGCGTGCGAAGGCTGCGCCGATAGGAATGCGCACACCTGAAACAAAGAAAATTATAACTACAGTAGAATCTCGATAATCCGGACTCATTCTTCACGGCTCTAATTACCGATTTAGGGTCTGGACCCATCAATACGGCACAGCGCCATCTGTGATACGGCTCGGATCCGCCACCGTAACACATTCAGAGGATGTCTTAGTTAATTATTAAAAGAAATGGATTCACCTAGTGGTCTAAATGATGTATGTAAAACCCTTTCTTTAGTAAAAAGTTAATTGTTTTTTGATTTTACTTGAAGAAATCGATTATCCGGATTTTAGATTATTCGTAATACCCCTGGTTTTAATTGTTCCGGAAAATCGGGATTCTACTGTAACTTAAAAAAAGTCGAACTACCTAAGGCGGGCGAATGCTGTTCCATCTGATAGAGCATTCGCCCAGCAAGCGAAAGGTCGTGGGTCCGTCCCGTCTTAGGCAGATCGATTTTTTCAAGTTATTTATAATTTATTCTTAGAAACGACTCTAAACGCTAAGAAAAAAAATAGAGCCGCTCCACTTTGAACACGCTTGTATTCCGCCAGTGTAGCAGCACACTAAGAAGATAATTTTATTTGGCAACAATAGAAACATACTGAATTTAAAAAACAAAAGAAAAAGTTTCCAAACAGGTCACCTACCTGCTTCTGAAGCTCGCGCACTACAACCGGTAAGTGCTCGCGTGTGACTGGGTTTGACGTGTCCAGGTTCATTATCGCCTCTTCTAAGTATCTGTAGGGAAAGAAAGATTAGTTTACAATAACTTGATATCAGAATGTTCATTTTAAACTGAAGGATATCCAAAGGTCTCCTCTCCCATACAAAGTAGTTATGTACATTCTCCATTTACCTTGGGTAAATTACTCAATACTCAATCGTTTATTGCATAACCACATTAGCATTCACATTAGGTCTTACAATTTAGGCAGTTATACAATTAGAGAGGGTCTTTCGTGCTTCTGCAATGGAGACTTATTACCTAGGATACGCGCCCCGTTATACTTTTATCCAGGCATTTTACCGACTTTATGCAATAAGCCCATACATTTATGGACTTTAGGATGTAGCACATTTATCATCTCGGAAAGGGATCGTAATTGTATCAACTCGAGGCGGTCAGTATTCTTTGTATGAAATGAAATTCCATACTGCAACGCACACTTATCCGCACCGTATATCTCACCTCGCGGTTGACAGCGCGCGAAAGGTGATACGGTGTTGATCCCTTTCCGAGTTGATAAGTTTGCGTGACCTTAATGGCGCATTTTCATTAGTCGATAACTCGTTCGGTATACAGCATGCGGGATAACGACCAATGAAAGTTGCATGTCGATACGCGTTCGGTATAACGCCTGCGGGGATTCCCCGCATGCATTATACCGACTGTGCTATCGACCAATGAAATTCATCATTCAGATTTTCTGACGCGGCATGCCTGTTTCTATTTTTTGGTAAACTTCGCACCCAGATTGCGGGCCCTGTGGCACGCGTTCCAGAAATCTCTCGCACTCAGCATGCGGACATCAACGAATGAAAACGGTTCCCCAAATGCGGGCCCTGTGGCATGCGTTCCAAAAATCTCCCGCACCCGACTAGTGAAATTGCGCCATAATAATGTTCGATAAGATTTTGTCACGGCATAAATCCGGTTGATGATAATGTCTCACCTGTGTTTGAGAGCAGTATCCCGCGACATATCAGCAGCCAGCTGCTGCACGAGCGACAGCAGCACGTGCTGTTTGAGCTGGCAGGGCGGCCCGAACACGCGCGCGGGTTCGGCGGCGCGGCACGCAGACATCACCAGCGTCAGGTCCGAAGCTGAGAGAGCTAATTGGAACGCGCCGTTCATGTCACCGCTGCTCATTAGTGACTGTATCTGGGCCACTTGCATCTGGAGGGAAAACATAAGATTAGATTACTAACAAAAAACTGAGGTCACCACAAACTGCTGTTTATATTACGACTATCTTCCCGCCCGCGGCTTCGCCCGCGTGGAATTTTTTGTCACAGAAAAACTTTATCGCGCGTGTCCCTGTATCAAAAACCGGGATAAAAACTATCCTATGTCCTTTCCCGGGACTCAAACTATCTCTATACGAAATTTCATCAAAATCGGTTCAGTGGTTTAAGCGTGAAAGTGAGACAGACAGAGTTACATTCGCATTTATAATACTAGTATAGATTACCAACTACAAATAGCTGCAGCCACACCGGGCGCATGGGCTCGCGAGTCAAGATTGTCATTCTGCTCACTCAAGAGCAGGATGGGCAGGATATCAAGCGTGCGAACCGCAGATCATAGAAGGGAATAGATGTGAAACGGGGGCGTGGCGCGTGTCTCCGCGATATGCCCAGAAACGAACATCGCCCGCGACGCCAGGTTAGTCGCGATTCAGTCGTACTGAGGAAATGTTCTCCGATATTGTTGGATAATGCGTCGTAACGTGCAATAACATAAGTGAAACGAAGAACTACAGGAACAATGAAGTCATTTACCACATGTAAGTATTGCAAATCCATTGGTATTTTGCTTATAAATAAAAAAAACTAAACATTTTTACGAACGAATTCAGTGCCGTGACATTTACTGCGATATCGAAATTAGTGGTGATAAAAATTCAAACACGTTGTACATTGACGATTTAGTTAGCAACCACTTTATGTCATGCGTAACTACTGCGCAATGTATTTTATTTCTTCCGATATCCACTGACGCGTGAAAATACACAGTACGGCCGCATGTGCCGGTCGTAACATAGTGCAGGGCTCGTGTTCTAATACGGTTTCCTATTATCGATAAATAGAAGTAAATTATTATTTTCTATTTTCTAATTTTGAATGAAAAAATNTCGGGTTTGTTCAAATTTCGAGAACGACTGAACCGACAAAAGCATTAGAAAAATTACAAAAAATAAAATAAAATTTTATCCCGCACAAAATGTTCATGGATTTTGTTATTTTTTTTAAATAGGTATTTAAATGTTATGTTATGCCTGAGTTAAATGACACCGACATCAAGGTTCATCAATTTAAGTTTAAAATAATAGGCAGTAATGTATGAAGAAAGAGCTTCTATTCTGTATCTACCTATGCCCGTGTATTTTTGATCGGTGTCAAATCGGAGTTTTTGGTGCGGGGTGCGCGGGTGTTGCTCGCGGCGTGAAGGTCAAACGCCCAAGGTCATTGAGGACTCTAATCGCCTTAAGTCAAGTAAGCGGGCTATGTCAGTCACTTTAGTTCCCCTGCGGAGTATTATAAGTCTTGTTCACGTAGGTACGCGCGGGCGCGGGGGCGGGTGCGGGCGCGGGAAACGTTGCGAGCTCGTGTTCACATTAACCACCAGGCGTTCGCGCGAGTGTGACGTACCTATTCGTTTCTAGCGACAATTTCAAACTGGTTGAACTTACCTGACGTCGCGAGTGAAACGCGCGCGCCGCCGCTAGTTTGACATGAACACACACAAACATATTCACGCGTTGAAATTACCGCGCGCGCTCCGCGCGCACCAGTCGCTAGCTTGCCCGCTAGTTAGACCGCACCTGCGTTTCGTACGTGAACACTTGGAATCACTACAATTGTTTGATATTTCGTCACCGCGCCCGCGAGTCAACGTGAACAAGCACTTACGTTCGGCGAAAGCGTCTTCCAGCGTCCTGGAGACTTGTCTGGCGAGGCGGCGGTGCTGGCGCGCGAGCGCGGGCAGGCACGCGGCCGACACGCCGCGCGCGCCGTCCCGCACCACCGACCGCACGCTCGCCGCCGTCGCCGACGCCACGCGCGAGCGCAGCTCCTGTACACACCGACCAAGGTTTAAGGCTGGTTTTAGAATTACGCTGACGCACGCTGACCGCTCGCCTGCGCTGACAAATCAAAATGTATGTAATTGAAGGGAACGTTTCTGAGTGACGCTGATCGCTCGACGCCGACGCTCCAATTTCGGCTATTAGCGCTGACGGTCAGCGTGCGTCAGCGTGATTCTAAAACCAGCCTAAGGCCTGGTTCAAAACTTCAGACGGCGATAATCGCATGGTTAGTGGGCAGTTATCTTTTTTTTTGTCGCGGAATAAATGCTGTAATAATCAGACACCACTGCCGGGGGTCTGAAAAGGGCGCTGCTCCGTCCTGAAAAGGACGGGGTATACTTACCCACTAAAATCTCCGCGGCGTTCCGTCATCGCTCGAGTGGGGGTGTCACGAGTAGGTATCTGGCCGTAGCCTTAGACTTCCGCGACAAGGCAGTTATCTTACATTTACTGCATCAACCCTTTAGTGCCTCCCCATTAAGAACTAATCAGATGCCGCGCGGATATCGCGCATCTGAACCATTAGCTCTACGCAACTGTTTTTATTTCGTTAAAATAATGAGTTATTCTCATGATCGTGGACTGACTAGTTATAATAGTCTTACGTCACTCTGTAGGAGAGCAGTGAGCGCGTCTCGCACGTGCCCGTCCAACGAGGAGGCTCGCTTGGCCTCGATGGCGTCCAGCAGGCTCTTGGCGCGAGGGTTCGGCTCCAGCGACTCGGATGGCTCACTTTGAACCAGGATAGTTGACAATAATAAGCGAAGTCTTACGTCACTCTGTAAGAAGGCAGTGAGCGCGTCTCGCACGTGTCCGTCCAGCGAGGAGACTCGCTTGGTCTCGATGGCGTCCAGCAGGCTCTTGGCGCGAGGGTTCGGCTCCAGCGACTCGGATGAGTCACTTTGAACCAGGCCTAGTTGACGATAAACAAGCGAAGTCTTACGTCACTCTGCAAGAAGGCAGTGAGCGCGTCTCGCACTTGGCCGTCCAGCGAGGAGGCTCGCTTGGTCTCGATGGCGTCCAGCAGGCTCTTGGCACGAGGGTCGGCTCCAGCGACTCGGGTGAATCACTTTGAACCAGGCTAGTTGACAATAAACAAGCGAAGTCTTACGTCACTCTGCAAGAAGGCAGTGAGTGCGTCTCGCACGTGTCCATCCAGCGAGGAGGCTCGCTCGGTCTTGATGGCGTCCAGCAGGCTCTTAGCGCGACGGTTCGGCTCCAGCGACTCGGATGAATCACTTTGAACCAGGCTAGTTGACAATAATTTGAGTAAAAATTCTACTCAAGCGTGGCGTATCGCGCCATTTCAACTCGATGTAGCACTGTTATTATTTAATTATGAAAGAAAATAAAAAATATGAGTCTAATATTTTCTAATTATCTGTCTGACGGACAAATAATTGAAATTTTGTCATCTAGCCTAGTTGTCGTCAGGAAGTTGGTCTAACTAATTCAGCTTGCAAGATTCCACCCGAACAAACATTTATGTAATTACCTACATAGGTACATCATAAATTGCAAGCTAAATAAAAGCTTGTAATAAAGTCGGGTTTGTTCAAATTTCGAGAACGACTGAACCGACAAAAGCATTAGAAAAATTACAAAAAATAAAATAAAATTTTATCCCGCACAAAATGTTCATGGATTTTGTTATTTTTTTTAAATAGGTATTTAAATGTTATGTTATGCCTGAGTTAAATGACACCGACATCAAGGTTCATCAATTTAAGTTTAAAATAATAGGCAGTAATGTATGAAGAAAGAGCTTCTATTCTGTATCTACCTATGCCCGTGTATTTTTGATCGGTGTCAAATCGGAGTTTTTGGTGCGGGGTGCGCGGGTGTTGCTCGCGGCGTGAAGGTCAAACGCCCAAGGTCATTGAGGACTCTAATCGCCTTAAGTCAAGTAAGCGGGCTATGTCAGTCACTTTAGTTCCCCTGCGGAGTATTATAAGTCTTGTTCACGTAGGTACGCGCGGGCGCGGGGGCGGGTGCGGGCGCGGGAAACGTTGCGAGCTCGTGTTCACATTAACCACCAGGCGTTCGCGCGAGTGTGACGTACCTATTCGTTTCTAGCGACAATTTCAAACTGGTTGAACTTACCTGACGTCGCGAGTGAAACGCGCGCGCCGCCGCTAGTTTGACATGAACACACACAAACATATTCACGCGTTGAAATTACCGCGCGCGCTCCGCGCGCACCAGTCGCTAGCTTGCCCGCTAGTTAGACCGCACCTGCGTTTCGTACGTGAACACTTGGAATCACTACAATTGTTTGATATTTCGTCACCGCGCCCGCGAGTCAACGTGAACAAGCACTTACGTTCGGCGAAAGCGTCTTCCAGCGTCCTGGAGACTTGTCTGGCGAGGCGGCGGTGCTGGCGCGCGAGCGCGGGCAGGCACGCGGCCGACACGCCGCGCGCGCCGTCCCGCACCACCGACCGCACGCTCGCCGCCGTCGCCGACGCCACGCGCGAGCGCAGCTCCTGTACACACCGACCAAGGTTTAAGGCTGGTTTTAGAATTACGCTGACGCACGCTGACCGCTCGCCTGCGCTGACAAATCAAAATGTATGTAATTGAAGGGAACGTTTCTGAGTGACGCTGATCGCTCGACGCCGACGCTCCAATTTCGGCTATTAGCGCTGACGGTCAGCGTGCGTCAGCGTGATTCTAAAACCAGCCTAAGGCCTGGTTCAAAACTTCAGACGGCGATAATCGCATGGTTAGTGGGCAGTTATCTTTTTTTTTGTCGCGGAATAAATGCTGTAATAATCAGACACCACTGCCGGGGGTCTGAAAAGGGCGCTGCTCCGTCCTGAAAAGGACGGGGTATACTTACCCACTAAAATCTCCGCGGCGTTCCGTCATCGCTCGAGTGGGGGTGTCACGAGTAGGTATCTGGCCGTAGCCTTAGACTTCCGCGACAAGGCAGTTATCTTACATTTACTGCATCAACCCTTTAGTGCCTCCCCATTAAGAACTAATCAGATGCCGCGCGGATATCGCGCATCTGAACCATTAGCTCTACGCAACTGTTTTTATTTCGTTAAAATAATGAGTTATTCTCATGATCGTGGACTGACTAGTTATAATAGTCTTACGTCACTCTGTAGGAGAGCAGTGAGCGCGTCTCGCACGTGCCCGTCCAACGAGGAGGCTCGCTTGGCCTCGATGGCGTCCAGCAGGCTCTTGGCGCGAGGGTTCGGCTCCAGCGACTCGGATGGCTCACTTTGAACCAGGATAGTTGACAATAATAAGCGAAGTCTTACGTCACTCTGTAAGAAGGCAGTGAGCGCGTCTCGCACGTGTCCGTCCAGCGAGGAGACTCGCTTGGTCTCGATGGNGTTTAAAATAACATTTTGATACTAGAATGTTCGTTTCACCTATGGACATTCTCTGCTGGACTAAGTCCCCCGTATTGATCGGTATCCAGCGATTATGCAAGGCTGAGTGAATTCAGGTGGAGTGACGATTTGCGATAGGTCACTGGCAAAAGCTGGATCAAGAAGCCAACAACAGGGTTTAGTTGTTTGTATTGGAAGAGTTCAATGTCAATAGTGGACCGCTATAGGCTGATAATGATGACACTGAAAACGGGCAACAAACAATCTCAATCAGAGGTGGAATTGTGTAAAGCAATCGTAATCATTTGACAGTTCATAACGTACGATAAAGTCAGTTAAACAAAGCGTTTGACAGAATAATTGTACGTTATGAACTGTCAAATGATAACGATTGCTTTACACAATTCCACCTCAGTAGGCCTAAGATGCGCGCAGTGATAACTTTTATCGACATCAAAATGTATAGGCAAAATCGATAAAATGGCGTGATAACCGCTTATCGCGGCGCGCATCTTAGGCCTACAGGTCTCATTCTCTATTTACTTTAGGCAAATTAGAGTCGTGTGCTTCTGCAGTCCTTATGACCTGTAGGCCTAGGATAAACTTTTGTAGAGATATTTTATCGATATTCCACGATAAGCCCATACATTTGTCATCTAATATCTTCGATAAGATTTTATCACGGCGCGCATCTAGTCCGGCTGATGATATCCCACCTGTGCTTGAGAGCAGTATCCCGCGACATATCAGCTGCAAGCTGCTGCACGAGCGACAGCAGCACGTGCTGTTTGAGCTGGCAGGGCGGCCCGAACACGCGCGCGGGCTCGGCGGCGCGGCACGCAGACATCACCAGCGCCAAGTCCGAAGCTGAGAGAGCTAATTGGAACGCGCCGTTCATGTCGCCGCTGCTCATTAGTGACTGTATCTGGGCCACTTGCATCTGGAGGGAAACAAAAGATTAGATTACTGACAAAAAACTGAGGTGACTACAAACTGCTTTTTATTTTAAGATTACCAACTGCAAATAGCCGCGGCCACACCGGGCGTATGGGCTCGCAAGCCAAGTTTGTCATCCTGCTCACTCAAGAGCAGTAACTCTAGCATGAACAACTTTCGTCTTCGAATCGTTTGCGTATTCGACAAAATTCGATACTCAACCTTCGAATTAAACGATAACGTGACAATTTTGATTCTCAAAATAAATTTCGTTCAACCATTTCTCATACTAAGTTCACTTTACGACACGTTCACAAGGGTGCTGTTGTAGTTTTCGTACTAAATCTTTTGATGGCGATTCGAGCACGCAAACGATTTGAACTCGAAAGCTTTTTGTGCTAGCCGTACAGGATGGGCAGGATATCAAGCGTGTCTCGCGAACCCATGCGCCCTTTGTGGACACAGCTAATGACCATGAATCCTAACTATGTATAATCAAGCGACATTTCTAATGGTGATTTGTAACACAATCTAGAATGAAAAAATACGTTACGCATTTGTGAGTCTTGTTCTAATATACTATTTAAATGGTATAAGTATAATTTTTGCCTAATAATATAACCTAATTAACTCTACTTATGATTTATAATATTGACAAAGTATTAAAAATTTCTTATACTTGTAAAAGAAAAGGTAAAGACTCTTGAACACAGTTTCTCGTAGAATTACGATGCGGTCTCTGTAAATAAAGAAAGGGATGTTTAACAGTTTATACTGTGTTTTTATAGACTCATTGACTGTTCTTTGAACTTTGCTGAGTCAGCTAGTAATAAATAGTACCTATTGTTGAACCAATAGGAATAGCTGGATTCATACTGGACATTCACAGAGCTAGACATTTAAGGCTAAAGTAAACTTGACGAGGCAAGGCGAAACGTGGTTCTGGTCGCTAAGCATAAGATTCCAAGCGTCGTCGAGAGCGCCGGCAGGCATATGTTACCGCGCGGAACTGTCAAACGCTGCGCGGTAATGTCGATATTACAAGTAGTCGGCCGCCGGCGCTCGTGACAGCTTGACGGCACTTGCGTGGCCCGGCCCACGCGATCAGAGCCCGGTGAATTGGATCATCCGGCGTAGATATGGCTATTGGGAACCGTATGGCTGTTTATGTAAACGTGGTTACTGGTATAGGTCAGATGGTCTGATCGAGTGCGCAAGCGTCGGCAGCTTCGATGGTGTGGTCACGTATCACGTATGGCGGAGGAGAGTGGCGAAGCGCATCTTCTACTCTGAACTTGAAAAGGGTAAGCGGAAACATGGCGGTCAACTCCTCGTAGGAATCATCAGGAACAAAGATGTGCAGAAACGGCATATGAAAAGATGCAACATTGAGCCCTCTCAGTGGGAAGGTTTGGCAGAATGGCGGCAGATTGTGAAGAGGCAAGTCCACGAGTTTGAGGAGCAGCGTACGACTGAACTCGACGCGAAGTGCAATGACTTGAAGGCCCGCCCATCTGCCGCCATTCACTGTAACTATGTTGGCGGCATGTTCAGATGCCCTTAATGTGCGAGGGGGTTTGCCGCCAAGACAGCTAGGAGTCGAAGTGGTCGCTATGGTCGAAATCGATTGGATGGATCATCATCACTGGTATAGGCGTGGCTATTGTTGTTGGTGTGTCACCAGCACACCATCTNAGGTGCGAACCCATGTGCCCTTTGTGGAAACAGCTAATGACCATGAATCCTAACTATCTATAATCAAGCGACATTTCTACTGTGATTTATATCACAATCTAGAATGAAAAAATACGTTACGCATTTGTGAGTCTTGTTCTAATATACTATTTAAATAGTATAAGTATATTTTTTGCTTAATAATATAACCTAATTAACTCTACTTATGATTTCTATATTAACAAAGTATTAAAAATTTCTTGTACTTGTAAAAGAAAAGGTAAAGACTCTTGAACACAGTTTCTCGTAGAATTACGATGCGGCCTCTGTAAATAAAAGAGAAAGATGTTTCACAGTTTATGCTGTGTTTTCATAGACTACGCGGTAATGCTTCGAATTTCACTGGGTCAATTAATAATAAATAGTAACTATTGTTGAACCCAAAAGAATAGCTGGATTCACACTGAATCCTGGATTCACCGAGCTAGACACTTAAGGCTAACGTAAACTTGACGAGGCAAAGCGAAGCGCGCTAAACATGAGATTCCAAGCGTCCCGCGTCGTCGAGAGCGCCGGCAGGCATATATGTTACCGCGCGGAACTGTCACTGGCAATGTCGATATTACAAGTAGTCGGCCGCCGGCTCTCGTGACAGCTTGACGGCACTCGCGTGGCCCACGCAATCGGAGTGCGGTGGATCATCCGGCGTAGATATGGCTATTGGTAACCGTATGGCTGTTTATGTAAACGTGGTTACTGGTATAGGTCAGATGGTCTGATCGAGTGCGCAAGCGTCGGCAGCTTCGATGGTGTGGTCACGTATCACGTATGGCGGAGGAGAGAGTGGCGAAGCGCATCTTCTACTCTGAACTTGAAGAGGGTAGGCGGAAACATGGCGGTCAACTCCTCGTAGGAATCATCAGGAACAAAGATGTGCAGAAACGGCATATGAAAAGATGCAACATTGAGCCCTCTCAGTGGGAAGGTTTGGCTGCACAGCGTCCAGAATGGCGGCAGATTGTGAAGAGGTGAGTCCACGAGTTCGAGGAGCAGCGTACGGCTGAACTCGACGCGAAGTGCAATGACTTGAAGGCCCGCCCATCTGCCTCAATTCACTGTAACTATGTTGGCGGCATGTTCAGATGCCCTTAATGTGCGAGGGGGTTTGCCGCCAAGACAGCTAGGAGTCGAAGTGGTCGCCATGGCCGAAATCGATCGGATGGATCATCATCATCACTGGTATAGGCGTGGCTATTGTTGTTGGCGTGTCACCTGGCGGTCCATGGAGCCTGCTCGCGCCACCACACCACTCCTGCTCAGCACGCTGCAGGAGACAATGTTGGTGTCTCACCTGGCGGTCCATGGAGGAGGCGTGCGAGGCGGCGGGCGTGGCGGGCGAGTGCGCGCGCGACACCTGCAGCGCCAGCGAGCGCGCCTGCTCGCGCCACCACACCATCTCCTTCTCCAGAACACTGCAAGAAGAGACAATGTTAATGTAGGTAAATGCTAGCGAGTCAGGAAGGAGCTGAGCGTGAGTCGAGCCGCTCTACTTGCGTTGTCAAGTGTGGACCTACAACAATCGTCAAAAAACCGACAGTAGGAGGAGCACAGTCGAGCACGAGCCGAAAGCGCGCTCATTTGATGCTCGTAATTTGGTATACTATACGAATTTTGGCTCAGTTTGCGCTAGGCTTGTCTAAGGTAGACCAGGCTAGGCTTTGGTTATTATAAGCTTTAAAATGTAAACACAGGTTCTTTGTTAAATGCAAGTTATTATTATACACCTAGATTAAGTTATGCTATACTATAGCATTAGATTTTCCCTGTAAAAATAGTGTAGATGTATAGAAATAAATAAATTTCGTTGTACAAGTTGTTTGTGTCGTACCTGTGTGCCGCTTCTTGCAAGGCGGGCGCATAGTGGTGCGGCGAGGGATGGTTGGCGGCGGCGGCGGCCAGGGCTGCGGCGTGGCGGTCGAGGGCAGCGCGGAGAGACGCGGTGGCCGGAGCGATCCAAGTGACATTGTTACCAATAAAGAGTTCTAACTAGAGATGGGGCGGATCAGTTAGAAACGGTACCTAATCCATCTAATCCAAATCCTTTAAAACACCTAATCCAAATACCTAATCCGATTTTTATACTTCGCTTCTAGTTCTAACGTCACTTATCATTGGTTCCAACGCGTTCAGTACTGTTTAGATCCATCGTTGTTTTTGTATCTTAGCTATGTGCCGCTTCTTGAAGCGCGGGCGCATAGTGGTGCGGCGAGGGGTGGTTGGCGGCGGCGGCGGCCAGGGCTGCGGCGTGGCGGTCGAGCGCAGCGCGGAGAGAAACGGCGGCCGGAGCGATGCAAGTGTTCTAACGTCACTCGTCACTCTGGTTCCAACGTGTTCAGTTTCGTTCTAAAGCCTGGTCCGTGAGCACGTAGAATCCCGTCCAATGACCCCAAGCTACCCATCCTTATCGCTCGCGCGTAATTATATTGCTGTCGCGACTGTGCGACTCGCGCCCGCAGTGAGTGTGCGAGCGCGACAGCAACATAATTACGTGCGAGCGACAAGGATCACGGACCAGGCTTTACAAGTTGAATCCTACCTGTGTGCCGCTTCTTGCAAGGCGGGCGCATAGTGGTGCGGGGAGGGATGGTTGGCGGCGGCGGCGGCCGGAGCGATGCAAGTGTGCTAACGTCACTCGTCACTCTGGTTCCAACGCGTTCAGTATCGTTGTGCACGTTGTTTGAATCCTACCTGTGCGCCGTTTCTTGCAAGGCGGGCGCATAGTGGTGCGGGGAGGGATGGTTAGCGGCGGCGGCGGCCGGAGCGATGCAAGTGTGCTAACGTCACTCGTCACTCTGGTTCCAACGTGTTCAGTTTCGTTCTAAAGCCTGGTCCGTGAGCACGTAGAGTCCCGTCCAATGACCCCAAGCTACCTATCCTTATCGCTCGCGCGTAATTATATTGCTGTCGCGACTGTGGACTCGCGCCCGCAGTGAGTGTGCGAGCGCGATAGCAACATAATTACGTGCGAGCGACAAGGATGGGCAGCTTGGGGTCATTGGATGGGATTCTACGTGCTCACGGACCAGGCTTTACAAGTTGAATCCTACCTGTGTGCCGCTTCTTGCAAGGCGGGCGCATAGTGGTGCGGGGAAGGATGGTTGGCGGCGGCGGCGGCCAGGGCTGCGGCGTGGCGGTCAAGGGCAGCGCGGAGGGACGCGGTAGCGGCGGCACCGCCACGCTCCGCCGCCGCGCGCGCGGCCGCCTCTGTGTTGGCCGCGACTGTTGGACAACAATAATAATTAATAGTCTCCATCCATAGCCCAGTAACCAGTCCATCCATCCTTCATCCATAACCCTAGTCCATTCTCCAATAACTGCAATAGCTCCTGTGCACAGGCTGGGGATGGTCTCTGGCTACATCCCATGATATAGTCAGAGACTAGATCCAGCATGTGCACCACTTTCAGTTTTGTCTATTATCTTGCGCTTAAAACGGCCTCTACGTGTTGGATCTGTATCCCCACGCAAGCCTTATAAAGGACTGGGCCACTTTTGACCCGTGAGCTCCAAAGCGTACAAACATAATAATAAGCCCAGTAACCGGCTCCATCCATCCTTCATCCATAACCGTAGTTCATTCTTCAACGACTGCAATAGCTCCCACTTGATAGAGGTCATCGGGCCCCCACTGCTACGATAGCACATAATATTCAAAATTGAGACAATAACAGTTGCGCCTCTCAAAAGCTCAAAGTTGCACAGCATGCTACAGAAAGGGTTGTGCACTTGTGTTCGGTGTTTCTTTACGAGATCAAATGAAATGAAGAGATTCGTAAATGAACTCAAGTTGCTGATATAGCCCGACGGATTAGCAAGCTGAAATGGCAATGCACAGAGCACATAGTACACAGAACCGACGGCCTACGAAACGGCAAGGTTCTGGAGTGACGTACCGGTAAGCGCAGCGCGGGACGTCCATCCACAGGGTGGACGGATCAACTTATCACCTCATAAAGATAGCAGGGACTAGATACATGCAGGCCATTACTAACTGGTCAATCAAATCATCGGGAGAGACCTATGTTCTGGGGCTGATGATAATCTAAATTGAGACCAAAAGAACTCGCGTCTCTATCTGTACGCCACAAGGTGTATATTGCAGTGACTTACACCAGGCCTGTTCATCTCCGCGAGTTTACATCGAAAACAAAACACGCACGATGGCCCACCTACAGGACACTATTCGACAAGGCCTCACATACGAGCGAACATTGACTCACGCACGCGTATTCTTGTGTATGATGGAAGAAAATAAAGAAAATGGTGCTAAATACTGTGCAGTATTTAACTGCCTAAATAATAATAAAAACACAGAATGTACTTTTTTAAGTTGCCTCAAGACACTGAGAAGTAAATAAGTATTCATGATAATTCATGCTAAATGATGTATTTCCTTTGCCATTTTCCGCAGTTTGGCACCTCACGTCACATCATTTTACCGAAGTCAGCCCTATAGCTTCGGCGCAGTGCCGATCACTGACGTTTGTCAACAAAATGGTGCTCATCCGCATTTATTTTTATAAGTTTGTTATATCCTAAGTATTTCCAGTGTTCTTTTGGAAGACTTTGCAAAAACAACAGTTTATTTAAACGTTTGCCTTTCAGCCTATTTCTTTGTTGATTGACACAAACAAACTCGCCAACCAACACGCGTAACGCGACATTGACATAACAGTTTTTTTTTATTGTCACTAGAGACACTACTCACTGCACTCGTACGCAGTGTTGCCAACATTTTTAAAATACAAGTTGGGTTGTCCGTATAAGTAAAATTTTAGTGGTCAGACTTGAGTTTTATGAAATTTTAATTGGTTATCATCGATTCGATGTTTTAACACTGAAAACTTAAAAACATCGATACATCGAGTATTTCAATAGCTTTTCAAAACATCGGATCCATTCGATGTATCGCATTGTAAACATCGATGTTTTCGTTACATCGATGTATATCGAATATCCCAAACGTCACATCATTTTACCGAAGTCAGCCGCAGGCGCAGTGCCGATCACTGACCATTGTCAACAAAATGGTGCTTGACTCTTGAGACAGGCTAAATTATACCATATTGTTAATGACATTGAGCACACATTTTTTTAAATACCTCCGCGAAGTAAAACTTCTGTACGTAGTACTTATTATTATTGCTGTGACTTACACTCCTTAGTGCCATTCTGGAAGGCGCCGTTGATCTGCCTGAAAAGCTGCGCGTGCGCCTTCTCCATGGCGGGCACCACGCATTCGAAGAGCGTCTCGCGGAATGACTCGCGCACCATGTCCGAGAGGGATTTCGCTATTGACGTGCTTAGCCGCTCCATCATGGTCTGAAAAGAACAGTACGTTTAGTATACTGATCTGAAAAAATAATGAACCCTTCACATTCACAAGAAGTCGAGTGTCTGGCAACACACGTTCGCAGACATTTTCTTGAGGTAAGATTTCTATCTCCCTTGTACGCAGCAGTGCTGTCACTGCATCGCTGCGTACCCTGCCGAGCGGCAGTGCTGCCATTGCATTGCTGCGTAGCTTGGAATGTCATAAAATATGTGGGGCAGTAAAAATTAAAAGATGTACTGTACTATAGTATAGAGTCACGCCTAAATAAAGATTAGTTACAATGTTCACACATAGATGGCGCAACTCCAATTGACACGCGTATCATCTGCTGGTGTAGTGTTGTACCTAGATGCAATTTTTTACGAGCAACGTTTATACTCGGCCCAGACTCGTGGCCATAATTAAAAATTAAAATAAAAATTCATAAAATTAATTTATTTTTGCAAATAGGCTTTAAAAAAGCGCTTTTACACGTCCCAATATTAACCCTACCACTGCTTCGGGACAATAAATGGGCCAGTGCTGAGAAGAAGCAGCGCAAGAAACTCAGTCACTATTGTCAGCCTCCTTTTCAAGGTTTTACAGTCTTTAAAATATACAAATTATAGTCATAAGTATTAATGCGAGCTAGGTAGTTAAACATTCCAAACATTTTTATCCTTTATATAATCATCAACTTTATAGTAGCCCTTTTTCATTAAGGTGCTTTTGATATGTGCTTTAAATTTATGAATGGGCAATTCTACAACAGTTTGTGGTAATTTATTGAAAAGTTTAATACATTTCCCCATAAATGAATTACCAATCTTGTGCAGTCTGAAATTTGTAACGGCAAGTTTATTTTTGTTTCTTGTATTGAACTTGTGTAAATCACTCTTTCTAGTATCTTATTAACACTAGTCTTATTAATTTTTGTTTTGTTTTTTTAACAGAGATACATACTCGCCAATATTTTATTAAGTACTAGCGTTTGCCTACGGGTTCACCCGCGTGAAATTTAGTTTGTCACAGTCACAGATCGTCATAAATTATAGCCTATATGTTATTCTGGGTTATAAACAATAATACTGTAAAGTTTCATCAAAATCCGTTCAGTAGTTTTTGCTTGAAAGAGTAACAAACATCCAGACATCCAAACTTTCGCGTTTATAATATTAGTAAGATTCCATATTATAAACAACGCAATGCCTGCCTCTGTGTAACGTCACCCATAAGCAGTGTGAGTGCGAAAGAAAACGTGTTATGAACTGTTTTATTATTACACCGCCTGCCAAGAGTCTTTGGACCGAGTATATGTAGTAGTGAGCCTCAACAGGCAACGAAGATTCCCCTGTCTCCCGGCTACCTCACCGCTAATCCACGCTAAATTTTGTCAGTGTGTGTGTGCGCGCCGCATACGTATTGGCGCGCTCACATACAAACCGCGCTCGGGCGTTTCTATGAAGATGACCTACTCTTCTTCTTCTTCTTTTTGATGATGTTGGCAATACACGTCGAGGTCGACTTGATTTGTGCCATTTTCAAGTATTTATATGATTACGAGTTACAAAATGAGATCAAGTAATGATATAATGAAGGATGATAGATGATACCCCTTCCCACCTTTTGAGTCTCAGTAAAGTTGTGGTGCTTTACTGAGACCTCCTATGGACAACTTGACAGAACCAGAAGAATCACGATGCACTGTTTTGCTTCACTCGCCCACACTCATGCACGTTCACGAACACTTAATGGTTAATAATCTATTATTACACATTAATAGTCGCCCAAACACGAATTTGAGGAAATATAAATATAGTATAGGTTTAAAAATTTCAGCTCGGAAAAGCTTCAGTCATTGGCATGCCGCCGTGAATACAGAGATCAAATATTTTTATATAAGATCATAATAATAAATTTATCAAAGCGACGGTAATATAACGGAGCCAAAATTTATCAAAGCGACGGTAATATAACGGAGCCAAAATTTATCAAAGCGACGGTAATATAACGGAGCCAAAATTTATCAAAGCGACGGTAATAACTACCCAAAAAAGAATAGATTGCCTTTTTGGCAAAAACGTCTAAATAATAAAATTGCCGATCTGAGAAAGTACATAGGCCAAATCACTGAATATATAGGCGGAAATAGAAGCTGTAGACTCAGCGCTCGTGTAGCCCGTATTAGACAAACATTTTCCACTCATTCACGACATGAAGAACCCAATACCAATGACCAACAAATTTTAGATACATTAAAACAGAAATTGAACGCAGCTGTTAGTCGACTCAAGAGATATAATAACTGTACGCTACGGAAAAAACAGAATACATTATTTATAAACAACGAGAAGCAATTCTACAGGCAAATATCCTTAGCAACACAAAATACAAATACCACCACTGATAGTAATTCAGCACCAGCACAAGAAGAACTAAAACAATTTTGGTCTGGGATTTGGGCAAACGCGGTTCAACACAACTCTGAAGCGGAATGGATTAAGATAGAGTCAGATGAAACTAGAAATTTACCACAGATGGAGTTTGATTGCATTTCAATAGACACTCTTCTTAAAGTAATCAACAAGACGCATAACTGGAAAGCCCCTGGCACCGATAACATCCAGAACTATTGGTACAAGAAGTTCACAAACACCCATCCCTCTTTACATAAGCATATCAATGATTTTATTCGCAGTCCGAATTTAATGCCTTCATACATTACACAAGGTTTGACGTATATGATCCCCAAAAGCGCAGAACATCACGATCCAAGCAAGTACAGACCGATTACGTGCTTACAGACCATATACAAGATTCTCACATCATGTTTAACCGAAGTTATCTACGACCATGCCATTGACCATCAGATTCTAGCTGAAGAACAAAAAGGGTGTAGGCGCAATAGCCAGGGCTGTAAAGAGCAGCTTATCATTGATTCAGTAGCTATGAAATTTGCTTTAAGAAATAGAATTGACATTAGCACAATGTACATTGATTACCGGAAGGCATACGATTCGGTCCCACACAGCTGGCTTCTGTATGTTTTGAAAATGTATAAAATCCATCCCATTATTATCACATTTTTAGAAAACTGCATGAGCATGTGGTCTACAAACCTCAAATTAACAAGCAACACTACAAACTACATCACTTCGAGCATTCCCATTAAGCGAGGTATATTCCAAGGTGACGCTCTTAGTCCACTTTGGTTTTGTCTTGCCTTAAACCCCCTATCAAATATGTTGAACAAAACAAGCTTAGGATTTAACATGCCACTACAACGGGACTACAATACAGGCACACTTGTGAACACAACTCTCACACACCTTATGTACATGGACGACATAAAGCTCTACAGTAAAAATACACAATCTCTTCATCAGTTAGCAGACATTACGCAAACCTTCTCAAACGATATAGGCATGGAATTCGGGATAGACAAGTGTAAAACCGTGACTATCAAAAAAGGAAGAATTGAACAAAAGGACTACATGTTAGAAAATGGCAATAATATTGAAGCGCTAGATGCTAAAAGTTCTTATAAATATCTTGGATTTCATCAACTACGACAAATCAACCACAAACAAACAAAAAAAGACATTATAACGAAATTCAAGCATCGACTCAACATATTACTTAGATCTCAACTTAATTCTAAAAATCTGACAAAATCTATTAATTCATTCGCAATATCTTTACTTACCTACTCATTTGGAATTATCACATGGAGCCAAACAGACCTAAAACAACTACAGCGTATAGTACATACTACAATGACAGCTCATCGCAAACACCATCCAAAAGCATGTGTCCAACGCATCACACTACCACGAAAAGAAGGCGGCCAAGGCTTCATTGACATAAACAACTTGCACAATAAACAGATAAAAAATCTCAGACACTTTTTCCATGATAGAGCAGAACTTTCAACACTTCATAAAGCGGTAGTCTACTGTGACAAAAATTTAACTCCCCTTAACTTGCATGACAATAACACACAAAAGAATGAACACATCACACCTGATCCTGAAAAAGCGTCCATGTGGAAGCAAAAGGTTATTCACGGCCGACATTACCACGATCTGCACCAACTTCATGTCGACAAGGCAGCGTCGAACGCATGGTTGCAGAGTGGACAGTTGTTCCCTGAAACAGAAGCTTTCATGATCGCCATTCAGGATCAAGTGATTGACACTAAAAACTATCAAAAATACATTCTTAAGAAACCAAATATTACTGATACATGTAGAAGATGCCATAGCAGTCCCGAGCACATACAGCACATTACAGGCGCCTGTAAAGCCATCGTACAAACTGACTACAAACACCGACATGACCAGGTAGCAGCAATAGTTCATCAACATTTAGCATTTAAATTTCATTTCCTCACACAAAAACTTCCTTATTATAAATACCAACCTACTACAGTTCTGGAAAATCAAGACTACAGAATATACTGGGATAGAACCATAGTTACCGATAAAACCATCCACTACAATAGACCCGACATAACTCTTCATGACAAAAGTAATAAAACAGTATATTTAATTGATATCGCAGTATGCAATACACATAATTTACAAACCACACAATCTGAAAAACTGGCAAAATATCGAGACCTAGCAATAGAAATCAGGACGCAGTGGCGAGTAACAACAGTTCTAGTAGTCCCTATAGTGATATCCACTACAGGCGTCATCCCTAGGCAGCTACATACGAGTCTTAACACCCTTGACATAACCCCGTCTATATACAAATTACTACAGAAAGCAACTATTTTAAATACGTGCAGGATAGTGAGAAAGTTTTTAAACATTTTATAACGTGACTAGGATGCATTTGGCCTCGGCCCGTGCTCCTAAAGTTAACCTCTTAGGAGAGAAAAAACACTAAAATACATACAATAATAATAATAATGAGCAGCCTACAACGGCTAGCCTGCATCACAGCAACCGGAGCACTATCAACGACACCAGGGGCTGCTGCATGCTCTGCTGGATCTTAT